ATTTATTGGAGAAAAGCAATAACAACAAAGTACCCAACAGAATGCTCCCAAGGCCACTTTGAACAGTAAAACAGACAATCACAGCATATATCTTTGCATAAACCTCAGGAATACTGTCAACAGCCACAGGCTGTAACAGTTATAAGCAGGTCATATTCAAAAAGAAATAGGTGAAGAGTGTTAGGTGCAGGACAGGCTAAATAAGCTGTCTGCAGGTCATGCCAAACAAAGTTAGCTGCAGGATGACCTGGCCACTCAAACCCTCTGTCTGGTTCTTTATCACCTGTTTGCTTCAAGCCCAAACGCCCAAGCCCCTGCTCAAGGCTGAACACTCAACCCCCTGCTCAGGGCCGAGCACCTAACCCCCTTGTGTGCCAACAAGGCAGCTTGCAGACCCAGAGACCCCATTAGATTTGGGCTTTAAAAACTCCCTTCTGCCAGGCCCCTCTCTCTCTTCTCTCTCTTCTCTCTCTCTCTCTCTCTCTCTCTCTTTCTCTCTCCCCTTCTCTCTCTCTCTCTTCTCCTCTGTTGCACTGCTGCAATAAAGATCTCTTGGTTGCTCTGAGTGTTGTGGTCACTTTTATCACTGTGGTTGGTAAGGGTGTACACTTAGTTGGTTTTTTTGTTTTGGTTTTTTTTTGGCAATACTAGGGATCGAACCAATGGGTGCTGTATTTCTGAGCTACATCCGCTGACTCTTTAGTTTTATTTTGAGATAGTGTTTCTAAATTGCCCAGCTGGCCTCAGACTTGCAATTGTCCTGCCTCCACCTCCTGAGTAGCTGGGATTATAGGTGAGTACACCCACAGTGTCCACCCAGCTGGATAACTGGTCATCTGGAATACTGCAAGGGATAGCTGATGTTTTGAAGAGATGGATCAAAACCTGCAATGGGTCACCTCTGCAAACAGTTGCCCCAGGAGCCCACCAGTTGGAGGAACGTGTGGCCAACGGACTCATTTCAATTGTCCCTTTCCAGATTTCCGTTTTCCCTTGCCCTCTTACATAGCCTCCATTTCTCAAGGGGAATTGTGGGTTTTCTGGGATTTCTGCTTTCATAATATCCACACTCAAGATTTTAATCTTTCAGGATTGTGATGCTTGAAATTTTGATCTTTAGGAATTATAGACTTTAGAAATTTTGAATCGGAAAAATCGTGGTGTTAGGGATTGTMTTTTGGGATCCTGATTGGCACAGTCACCTTGGTGCCCCCTTATTCCCTGCTACACGATCTTGGGGAGGTAGGGGGTGGTCAGTGCTGTGGAGTGACCACAGGAAGCTGGAGAGGGCCAGTGATGTCACCTGCTTACCATGCCCAGCCCTTTGAAGGTGCCTCTCCATTAACTGAGTCAATATATACAAAGGCTCAGACAAGTGCCAGGTACCCGGACGTAGCCTTGGTATCCCTGTGACTCTGCTCAGAGCCCTGCATGGTGTCTGGTGACGGTGGAGGAGGGAGCCTCTGCTCTCCTCCCCTTCCGCCACCTGCTCCAGCCACAGGCACCCTCTTCACACCGGTGCCCACCTCTGGGACTTTGCTCACAAAGCCACACTGAGCTTCTGCCTCTTTTGCTCCTCTGTCCCCTTGGGTCTTGGCTTCAATGCCTTCACCCTGGAGACACCTTATGTGCCCTGGTTCCAGAAGGCCCCAGAAATCCTCTCTTAGCACCCATCCTCTTCCTTACCTAGTTGCCTTCTTTGGACTTTGGGACTCTYGACCCCAGTGCTCTCCCCTTTCTGGATTTTTTTGGTTTTTCTTCTGGAACATTGTATTTTTTAAAAAATGTTTTTTTAACTTGAGACACTTTGGGATTTACAGAAAAGTCATAGAAACCGTACGGAGGGCTCCAGCTTTGCTTCTCCCCTAACATAAGCAGCCCGTGGAACCGCAGCGGATTTGTCAACACCTGGAAGCGAACCTTGGAGAGCCCAGCCTTAGCAGGACGCCACCCACTGCCCGTTCACGACTCCCACGCTGTACTTGGTCACAGGTCTCCTTAGTCTCCTTAGGTCCCTGGTGGTCCTCAGGATCTCCTTTCTGTTCCTGAATTAGCACTTTGCAGAAGGCTGGTGGCATCTTTTTGAACGTCCCTTTGCTTGGGTGTGACCGCTGTTTTCCATGATGGACTGAGGCACGGGTTTGGGGAAAGATGCCACTGATCCCTGGCTCCTAACACGGTGTCAGGGACAGGAGATGTCAATACAGCTCGTTGCTGGTGATGCCACTTCCATCCCTCAGCCAAGGTGGATCCTACTAGTTCTCTGCTGTCACTGGACTGTCCCCCACTTCCCGTGCCATGCTCTGAGGTGTGTGTCACCCTCTGCAGCCCTCCCCCTCCTCAATCCACATGCAATGAATTCTATTTTTCTGCTTTTTTTTTAAAAAAAGTATTTTTTAATTTGTTATTGCTCCATGTTGGAATATCAGTTCCCCAAGGATAGGAATTTTAGGGTTTTGGAAATTTAAAATTTTCCTCCAGAACTTGGAACAGTGCCAGGCACACAGTGGACACTCGGTAACTATCTGAGGACAAATGAGTCGCTCTCATCACAGTTTGTGACTACGCTGATCTATTGGCTTCCCTGGTTATTGCCAGTTCCGTGGCTGCTGGGCTTACCAACTTGCACCAGCTCCAGGGTAGACTCCTAGTGGCACCCACGAGTAGCCTTTGATTCATGAGCTCAGTAAGCCTGGAAGTGGGGTACTGGCAGGCATGGCTCATCACTGGAGGTGGGAAGTGTTTACCCTGGAGACCAAAGTCACTGTCTCACCCAGGTCTCTGTGGGGAGAGACGGTGGAACCAATCCTGGTCTTCAGCACAGTGTGGTTCCTCTGCATCAGGTTACACTCCTGAGAGGTGGCCCCAGAGTCCCTGTGGGGAGACAGAGGAATCGAGTCTACTTTCCAAAGGGTGAGCTCCACAAGGAGCATCAGGGACTTGAAAGGTGAGCTGGCCTATGGGTTGAATGGTGTCCCCCTCAAAACTCACATGCTAACGTCCTGATCCCCAATATCTCAGAATGTGACAATTGGAAATTGGATCTTTAAAGAAATGATGGAGTTAAAATAAAGTCATTAGCTGGACCCAGCCCAATATAGCTGGTGTCTCGATGAGAAAATTCAGACACAGACACGCACAGAGGGAAGACACAGGGACATGGTGCCTCAAGCCAACGGGAGAGGAAGCCAATCCTGCTGGCCTCTTGGTCTTGGCTAGTAGCCTCCAGAACTGTGAGCAAGCCAATTTCTGTTGCTTAAGCCCCCCTGACTGTGGCTCTTTGTTAGGACAGCCTTAGGAAGCCAGTTCTGTGGCTAAGAACGAGGGTCCTGAAGGGAAAGGTCAGGCCTGTATGAGCAGGGACCCTACAGGACATTACCTTAGTTTACCCAATGGCAGAGGTCAGCCCTCAGAAGGGGCTGGTGGAGCCTTGGAGAGGGTGTGAGCGCCCCCTAGAGGGGGAGTGGAGGCACCGGCTGAGCTGCAGATGGAAGAAGGGGTGCAGGAGACTCAGGGTGTGCAATGAACCCCAAGGTAACGTGAGAGCAATGAAAGAAACAGTGGTAGACCCTGTATCCAGGATCCTTGTCCCTGAACCACCAGCACGGTCCCCTCCTTCACACTCCCAGCACTGGTCCAGAGAGTCTCCATGATTCCCCCGCACACCACAGCTCGCCCACATCATCCTTTGCCCCGGACGTTCCCTTGGCCTGCGGGTCTCCTACCTGTTCCCAAGCCTTCTTCTCACTCTTCAAGACCAGCTCTGTCTCCCTTCGGCAAAACCTTTCCTGGCTCCTTAAGAGTTTCTCTCTTTCTCTCTCTCTGAGCTGCTATTTCATTCTGTGCACCCCAGGACCGTGTGATGATTGAGCTAAATGGCCTGTGAGGACCCTGACAGCAGCACTTTGATGTGTGGCAGGCAGCAGAGGCTCAGTGCACCAGACCCCACCCCAGACTCCCCACAGCTCCTGCTTTGGGCCTGTTTGCCCAGTGAACTTTGGACGGCACTGGACCATGTCCTTATCCATGACACACGGGCAGGGCCCCCCTCCGACCTTGGACAGGCTGGGTAAACAGGGGGAGAAATATTTGCCAAGAGAGACTAGACATTATGCAAGGGAAAGGCACACAGAGGCAGGGTGACCCCATGAGGAGGTCCAGTCCTGGCCAGCTGCCCTGAGCTCTAGGCATAAACACAAACAAGAGGTCTGGGTCTGCTTGCAGCCACACACCCTGCCATGGTCAACCGGTGGGCCACCTGGGATCTCGGAGTCTGGCCCTCATTGTCACCAGCTATTTTCCCCTATAAAATGAGGACAATGACAAATCTTGGTGGATTGTCAGGGAACGAATGAGATCACGCATGCAAAGCATCCGGCACAGGCTGGCACACAGCAGGTGCTCAGTTCTATGGGGGATTGTCAAAACCCAGGCTTCTGGCCTCAGTACTCCCATGGGTGCCAGCTTTAATACAGTCCAGGCCCTGAGGTCACAGCCGTGGGCACAGCCTCAAGGAAATCAGGATAAGAACATGCAGGTCGGGTGGGCAGGGGCTCTGGGGGCAGCTAATTTGGGGACAGTAAGAGGCCGAGTGAGGAAGATGCACTCACTCGCTCACCCTTCAATTCTGGTGTCTGGTCCCCTTCATTTGACAGTGAAGGAGCTTGTTGTCTTGGGAAAGGCAGAAAAGGACCTTGCCTGGGTCACGCATGGGACTTCCCCTTGTCTCATCATCTCTCCTCCACAGCGGGGCATGGGACTGAGCCGGTGGCTCCGGGGACATCCAATCATCTGGGCTCTGTACCTGGGTCTACCACCCAGCCTCACCAAGACTCACCTCCCATCTTTAAACTGGGGATGAAGGTGGCACCTGGCCTTGGGGGTACCGTGAGGGGTGAATGGGAGCATGCAGGCCAAGTGTCCAGCACCAAGTCTAGAGCATGGCAAGTTGTCGGTGTCACCGTTCCTAGAGCTGCCGCCACAAAGACAATGAGGCCCAGTATTTGAAAAATGCTTTATTATTATTGCTGACATGAAATTCACAGGGTTAGTCATCAGGGTCTGCAGCTGCTCCTCTCCCCTTTGCAATAGACCTCGGTTCTGTCATCCTCAGCCAGGCCCATGAAAGGGTAACTATTCACCGGTTAGTGCAATCCTGCACTGGGACACTTCCACCCTGGCCTCTGTTTTACCTAACACTCAAATGTGCTGAAGTCAACCAAGGCTGACATGGGACACTTCAAGGGTCCTTTATTGGGATCCTTTCACTGGAGACATGAGGATCCTGAAGTCCAGAGGGGGCCGGTGTGAATCCCATGTCACACAGCTGGTTAAAGCAGGGTGAGTAGCCCCATCTAGAACTCTTTCCAAACTATGAGGAACTGACAGTTGTTGCTGAGAGATGGGGGACAAGACTTAAAAATGTGCCTCCTGGTGTCTCTCAGCAACCGGAACTGTCTTCTAAATGTGTTTGAACCACTGATCTGAGCATCAGTGGCCTGAACTCTGGGCCTGTCTGGGGTACTAATGTTGTGGGAGCTTGGATGAGTCAACTGGCCTTTCTGAGCCTCAGTGCCAATCTCCACTGATGGACAGCAAGGACAAGACCGATTGTTCTCCAGGTTTCTCTAAGGCACCCATGTCTTGCAATTGTGTAAGAAGTAATCACCAGTATATTGATCTTATTATTATTTGTGATGTCCCAATAGTCAGCTAAACCTATGTTAATCACCAGCTACTAGCAGATAGATGGGCCATGCTCACCCCTGTCTCCCCCTGTGGAGCCTGTGAATTCCAGGAGAAAACTGCCCTCAGGGTCGGGTCACTTTGCCAAAGAAGAGGATGTTCGTGTTTTCCAAGATGGCCAGCAGAAAGGGTCTGTTGAACACGACCCTCTGAGAGCCCAGTCGGGCCGACCTGAACATGAAGACTGACCCGGTGGCTGCAGCTGCTTTGGTTCCTGACTCGTCCACCTCCACCACGGCCCGGTGCACCATCTGCAGGGAGACAGCAGGCATTACCCGGCCACCCAGGGCTGGGAGCAGGGTTCGTGGGAAATGGCAAAGCCACCTAGGGCTCCAACACAGGCGTCTGTGCACCTGAGCCCGGGAGCAGGAGGAAGTGGAACATCTGAGCAGCCACCTGTGCCAGCCGCTGTGCCCAGAGGAGACTGCACGTGTGTCAGTCACTGAATCCTCGTGACATCTCACAGTGAGGTGTGACTTCCCTGTTTCACAGGTGAGAGAGAGGAGGCTCAGAGTCTCAGGTATTTGCTGGAGCTCCCACAGCTAGGAAGGGAAGGGGCTTGCACAGGATTCTGAGTTTTGACCAGTTATTACTGCACTCCATCCCCCCAGGCACGGTGGCTTCCTATGGCAAGGAGCAAGAAGCCCAAAGTAACATCTTTGTGGAAAAGAGGAGGGGGTGGGGAGATGGCAGGGCAGGGCAGGCCATTCCTGAAGGCGGTGGCTCGGGGACTTCTGGACTCACCTCGGACACCTGGATGTTGGAGTGGTTGGTGAGGCCGCTCAGGTCGGCCTGGGAGGTGAAGACTTGGCTGATCCCTAGCTTGGGCAGGATTTTCTCCAGYTGATAGGAGCCCTCGATGGAGAACTTGGGAAGGTAAAGGTCCAGCTGCCTAGAGAAAGAAAAGAGCCGTCCTCAGCCTGAGCCGAGGCTCCCTGAGCTTATGTTCCAGGCATGCCCCTCAGCTTCTTGGGCTTCTCTGCCCTTCATCTCGGACAGACCTCCCCTGGGTCTGGACTTGGACTTGGGCTGCCCCACTCTGGCACCTCCCCTGGGAACCCAGCTTCCCGCCCGGGTCCCTCCAGCTGGCCCAGGACTTCACTGGGTGACTTTGGGTTTGGAAGGAGCTCCATAGCTGGGTGGGTCCTTCCCACCACCACTGTGTGGTCCTGGGGGCCATGGATGTCCCTGGGCTCGGGCAGGGTCAGGCTGGCCCTGGAGGGGTCTGAAGAGTACCTCTTGGTGAACAAGTGAAGCCACTTCCCCAGCCTTTTCCCGGTCAGGCCGTTCTCCACCTGCACCATCTTGCCCTCGCCGGGGAGGATGAGAAGGGCAGTGGCGTTGCCTTCGTAGGGGACCCCCACCACCTCGCAGGAGAGGTTTCGGTCCAGGAAGTAGTAATATTGATCCTCCCGGTTCATCATGGACACCTTCACGGCGGTGTCCCGGTTCACGTGGAAATCTTGCTCCTTGGTGTTTTCGGGCCTGAAGCCTGTCTCCCACTTAGCTAAAGGGGGGGGGGCGACAGGGAGGGAAGAGAACTGGGTAAGGGTGAGGCATTCTCTGCTGCAAAGGAAGAGTGGATTCAGGAAGCAGAGTYGCAGATCGGCTCCTCGTATAGAGCCTTCACTACAGAGCAGCAGAACCTGCACCCTGGACTACGAAGGCAGGTCCCTTTATAACCCTAGGGTATGTCTCGACTTGTCATGGTGCCTCTCCTTCCATATTTGAAAAACAAGAAGGTTGGCTTTCATGTCTTTGGAAGCCCTTTGATTTTCTGATGCCTGAGKTGCTCCCTGATGTCTAGGGGAGGTGCTCTGTGTTTTACTCTTTTCCTGATGTTGCATTTTGATCTGGGTTTTGCACAGAGGTGTAAGGGGTCCTGGAAGGACATGATCATCCCTGTTGGGAGGCCTTCCCTGGGCTCCTTCTCTGGCTGCTTCCCATGGGCACTGCTAATCAAGGATGGCAAGGGACTGCTTCCGACTTCTTAATAGTTCTCAAGGTGGGCCCTGCCCCAGAACCCATGCTTAGCTTATTTCACAGTTGCTATAAGGGGACCAGTCCTGGACTGAGGGACAAGAAACTCAGAATCCAAGCCTGGTATTCCTTGCTGTGAATTTGTTCCCTCTCCCCAAATCCATTTGTTGAAACCCTAAACCCCAAGGTGATGGTGCCAGGAGGTAGGGCCTCTGGGTGGCTGTTAGGTGGCCAAAGCAGAGTCCTCCTAAGTGAGGTTAGTGCCGTTGTGGGAGGGACCCAGGGACCCTCGTGCCCCTCCCCCTGTGTGAATGTGCTAGCTGTGGGGATCCTGGCTTCGGCAGACACTGAATTGAAGCTCCATCTCAGGCTTCCTGTTCTCTAAAAACGTGAGAAATAAAGTTCTGTTGCTTATAAGCCACCCTGTGTGTGGTGTTTTGCTGTAGTCACCCAAAGGCTCTGAGACACTATTTGTGACTCTGGGGGTTGACAGTTTGACTCCCCCCTCTCCTCCCCTCTTCCCCTACTCTGTCTGTCCCCCTTCCCTGCAGGTCACAGGGYTCAGCATCTGCAAAGAGGAGCCGATGAGCCGTTGGAGAGCCGGGGCGTTTTCTGGGAATCCAGGGAGATCACGGCTCTACCTCTATCAGTGGGCCAGAGGGGCTCCCGCCGGGAGGAAGCACTAAAGCTGCCTCACTGGCTTCTTTAGGTGGAGGGAATGGGGTATTGTTGTGGCTAAAGCAGCAGAAAGAGAGAAAGTTCCGGTTCAAACCGGAACTTGTCACCTCACCTTTAAAGAAAATGTAATTCACCATCACTATGATGTGGGTGCTGTCGAGGTTCTGGATCAAGTCCACAATCTTGCCCTTGGTTTGCTTTGCCACATAGTCATTGATCTGCTCCTGGGCTTCTGTGGGGTTCCCGAAGTTGGTGGGGAAAATGTCCGCCTGGTACATAGTCTTCATGGCCCTCAGAAAGCCCTCTTGAACGCTCACTATAGGGTCCATGAAGAGGGCGTTGCCGAGGCTGAGCTCCAGGCCCTCTCTGGGCTGACTGAGCTCCTGCAGAAGCTTCTGGAAGGTGTTGTGGAGTTCCTCTTCTGAGTCGGGCTGCAGGCTGTGGCCCAGGCCCTCCAGGATCTGCGCCTTGGTGTTGGAGCGGGCCCCCAGGGTGAGCATGGCCAGGCTCATGGAGATGCTCAGAGGGGAGAAGAAGATGTTCTGTCCAGGGGCATTGGAAGCCAAGGCTCTGTAGAGGTCAAAGGTGAATTCCCTGGTGCTGGGGGCCACTGTGTCATGGACAGCGGGTTCCTTGATTTTCTTCCTTGTCTCACGAGAGTTGTGGCGTCGGAGGGAGGCCAGCTGAGGGCTGATCAGCGTCAGGCACAAGAGGAGGACCAGCTTCATGGCGGCTGCCGCTGTCCTGGAGGGGATGTGGGAAGGTGTCCTCAGAGAGGGTGCCGGCAGCAGTTCTCGGAGCTGTGGGCAGAGAGACAGGTGAAGCTGACATTCTAGAGAGTTGTCACCACTCATCACCCAGCCGCCGGTTGGGTCCATGTGGCCTCAAAGAGGAGTGACAGTACCCATGAGGTCTGGGTGAGGGCCTGTGGAGGGTGCTATGGCTGGAGGGGCTGGACGGGGGATGTGGACATCTACCATAGGGACAGGAAGGAGAAGACAGAGCAAGTGCAGACCCGAGGACAGACAGGGTCCTGCTATCGCGGGACGCCTGGCCTCTCGTTCACATCAAGGCTCCTGTCGGTGGTGGGCATCGGGGAGGTTTCCAGGGGTGAGAGGCCTCTGACCTTCCCTGGGGTATCATGGCCCAGCGCTTGGCAAGGCTCCGGTCCCTCTGAGAGCTCAGACCAGCTCCTCCCCCTGGGCCTCCACCTGGCTGGCTTTGCCACTGCATGTCCCCTGAGCCCGGTGGTCAGGGTATCATGGTACTGATCCGTCTGCCAGGGCTGCTACAGGCCACCTTTGTCCCCAGGGAGCCTCCTGAAAAACTCCGAACTCTTACTGTGAGCCTCCGACCTCCCCGTCTTTCATCAGCATCTGAAAAGTGCCCATAAAATTCCTGACCCTGGACACCTCGCAATGTGTCTGTATTTGGAGAAAGGATCTTTAAAGAGCTTGTGGCATTAAAATGAAGTCACTAGAGTGTGCCCCAAGCCAACAAGACTKTKTTYTTTTTTTTTTTTTTTTAAGATGAGGGCGGGGAAGTCGGGACACAGACACACACACCAAGAGTGAAGTCCTGCAGGGTGGCCCACTGCTCCTGCTCACAGGCCTTCTGTCTCTGCTCCTGTCCTCCCTCCTGCCTGCAGGGAACCTCCTGCCTGTGCCCCCCATCTGGCAGTGGCCCCAAGTCCTCCTTCTACCTCCATAGTGGTGAGGAGCCCCGCTCTGGAGCCAGCTGCCTGGTTCACCTCTCAGCCTACTAGGACTTCACACTGTGACTCTGGGTGGCCAGTGCTCCCCAAGCCACCCTCCTGTGAGTCAGGGTAAAAGCAGCACTGGCGCAAAGGGTTCTGGGAGCAGAGCCTCCCAGGGAGCAAGTGCTATGCAAATACGAGGCATCTGAATGGCTTGTCTGGCCAAAGCTCCACCTGACACCTGACACCTGGCACCCCATGTCCTCAGCTGTGCCTGGAGGCAGCTCCGTCAGCCCCTGGGGAGCATCTTCATCCTGCACAYTGTTCTTGGAGCAAGTCCTTCCCTGCTAGGTTTATTCTCCAAACACCATGTCATCAGGTCCCCTAGAGCCAGGGTGAGCAGAGACAGCCAGCCAGTCACACGACCCAGACAAAGCCAAACCCTAAAGGAACCCAAACTGCAGCACTGGAAACTGCTACCGAGTGGCCCACTTGGGGAGACCTTGGGACAAGAATAGGTTGGGGCATCAGGTGGACCAGGACCACAGGCCCATCTTTGAACAAGGCTGAAGGGCTCAGGTAGGTCATCCTGACCAGCCCTCCTCTCCCAGTTGCACCTGGGCTCAGAGAAGAATGTTCTGCCTGCAGAATGTCTGGCCGTGGGAGCCAGATGCAGCAGCCTCTGCAGTCACGGGCCACGGGGTGGGGGGGTGAGGGCATTGCCCACCCTCTGCTCCGTGCTCTGCTGTCTATCAACTCCTTCAACCACACCCCCCGGGAGGTGGGCTCGCTTAGGGCTCCATCTTACAGAGGGGTAATCCAAGGTCCAAGGAGGAGCCTCCTGCTGACTGGCCAGGTGTGGACTTAGACCAGTTCTGACGCTGATTGTGTCTGCATCTTTGATCCTGGTTCAGCAGCCGCTGCGATAGCCCTCATCTGCAGATAATTCAGGAACATACTCCCAGATTCTAGGCTGTTCTCTCTCCCTGTTCCCACAGTGACGGCCATCTCTGGAGGTCTGTGAGGGACAAGGTGGCTGTGTACTACTGTGTGTCCTTTAAACTAGTCTAGCTATAGTACAGTGTGCCCTCTCCTGCAGATCSAGTTGCCCTAGAGAAACCATTTGGCTGAGTCCCCTGCAGATCAGCACAGAGCTGATAACCCCATGGCTGGAGCAGTCAGGARCAGGGGACATCCTGTGTGGGCAGAGCCCTCGTGAGGCTGCTAGGCAGCTGGCCAGGCCACCCAACCCAAGCCTTGCATTCTTCATCGGCAACACCAGGTCTGGAAGGTGCTGTGGCCAACAGCTGCCCCCACCATGTCCCCAAACCCCTGAACACCAGAGACCTGAGAGTGAGAAGTCCCTAGGTCTCCTGGGAGAGCCAGGTCTGTTCTTGGGGTGGAGGGTCCCAGGTTCACTCAGGTTCCCTTGGGCCACAGGATTGRGACCCAGAAGTCTTGCTCCATTTGGGCCCACCCTTTTATTAAGGCCACTATTTATGAAGCACTACAATTACTACATAAAATTGCCTCCAAAATTAAGTGTTATTAGCCCCAATCTTAGGTGAATTAACTGAGGCTTAGTGGAACGGACGTGTTCACTCCCAATGTCCCCTCTCAAGGGCTTGTTACCCTCCCCTGCCACGTGGTGTGAAGAGAAGTCTCTCTGAAAGTGGAGGCCTCAGGGTGCGTTTGAGTTTCCTGGTTATAAAGCCTGGTTTCGCCATCAAGCTCCTGGGCCTCTGGTGGAAATASGTGGCTTTGAGAGCCTTTTGGGTCCTCTCTGAGGTGGGCTGAGCCTGAGCGGGCCCAGGGAGCCTCCCAGGCCGCAGACCAGCCCCACTACGTGCCAGGAGAGCCCGGACCCTGACATTAACATTCCTGCAGGAGGAGGAGAGGAGACCACTCAAGTTCACCTGCAACTTCAAGCTTGAGGTAGGTGGCAGTGTGGGGGGAAGGGGATGAGGCTCTGCCCTGTTTCCCACTGGTCCCCTACGATACGTGGATGTCCAATCTGCTGGCTTTCATTCCAAATTGGGCCACAAGGTCCCACCTGGTCTGGTTCCAGACTCAGCCGAGAGAAGTGTGCAGGTGAGGAGGGTCTTTCCAGCCTCTGCTAATCATGAACAGACAAGGGTGTGGATCTGACGAGGACGGGGAAGCAAAGCCAGCGCTCCGTCCAGACCCTGAGGACTGGTGTAGGGCTTCATGGGAGAAGCAACCTTGACCTTTCCGCCTGCAGCCCACGAGCAAGGCTTGTGGATTTCTATTTCCACACAGGCCTCCGACCTCCCTGCCGCTCTCCACTCTCTCCACCACCCTAAGGGGAGACCCTGCTTCCACCTGGACCACTAGTGGCCTCCCCTCTGTGCCCGGGGGGCCACTGTACACACGGCATGGGACAGAAGCTCCTTCCCTCACGGCCTTGGCCCAGCTCCCCGGCCACAGAAGACCACTGCTGCCCACTGTATGTGGCCTGAGGACCCCTGKGTGTCCTGGCTGCGCTGGCCCCCGTCGGCCTCACCTTGAGCTGCTCTGCCTGGGTGGCGTGAGTCCCCAGGCCTAATGCTTCCCTTCCAGACTCCCCCAACCCAGCAGTCTCTGTCCTGCCCTGGGCCCTCCCCCACACCGCTCCCTCTTCTAGAGTTCCCTCCTGACCGTCCCCCCCCAAGGCCGCTTCTGCACAGGTTCACGCTCTGCTTTCATGTCACCCTTGGTGACATCCCCCCACGCTTGCACCTCTCCCTCCCCCTGTTACTTCCCRTAATGGCTCTTCATGTTTCTCCCAGAGCTCCACCAGTTGTCTGGAGGGGCCCCATGCSCCACTGTGGAATAAATGAAGGAATGCAAGCCTGGACCCCTCTCCTCCTCAGAGGTAGCAGATGCCAGCTGGACACTGGGGGGACACAGCCAGGCTGGGAGCTGCTGCTGGGCTCCSGGCTTTCCAGGCATTCAACCCCAAGTAACTCCCTCCCTGTGGCTCAGCTGGGCCACCCACCTTATCTTTTAACACCCTCTCTGTTGAGGTCTAACTGACCAACAGCCTCGCATCTCTAGAGAACAGGGCCAGAGCCTGGAGACCAAAGAYGCCGTGTGCGTCACCTTGGTCAATGTCATGAACTCGTCCTCCACCCCCAGGGGTCCCAGCCTCTTCACGCTCCACGCTTCAGGCTCCAACCGATGAATGAGGACGCTGTCCCAGGGAGCTGCGGCCCCTCACTGTGGCATTCCTTGCMGAGACCCCATCCTTGGAAAACCTGAACACCCCGCTCACCTTGCTCGGCTTGGGTTCTTTAGCAAACTTCCAAGGCTCCTGGAGCCTCCGAGCCTCCGAGCCTCCGCCCGCCCGCCTGAAGGCTGCCTCCACCCGGGCGCCTTATCTAGGGAAGCAGCTTTTCCTGAGGCTCTCGAGTGGACAACGTGAGGGAGCGGCCCCCATCCAGCAGACAGCTTGTCGCCACTGCCTGGGGTCAGGGTTTCTCAATCTTGTCCTGTTGACACTCAGAGCAGGAGCATTCTGTGTGTGGGGGTGGGGGTGTTGTCCTGGGCATCGCAGGGTGAGCAGAAGCCTAGCAGTTGACCACAGTGGCCCCTCCAAAGGTGACAACCACACTGATCTACGCTCCAGCCAGGTGTGGCTGGTGGGCACTGCCCCTGGGGCTGTGCCTCAGTCACAGGTGCAGGGGCGGTGACTACCTCCCTCCCACCTGTGGGGGCACGGAGGCTCGGCCAGCTTCAGGGTGCAGGCCAAGGTCGCGCCACTAGGAGGATTTCCCCTGCGGCTCGGGTGGCCCCAGCTTGTTCTCAGCACTGTGGAGGCCCTTCCCGTCCCTCTGAGACTCCCGAGAGATGTTGAGCCCTCCAGACCCGATACTCTAGAGTGCCCCTGGGTCCCTCCCCGTAGCCTCAGGCCCGYGAGACCACAGCCACAGTGTCCGTACTCACTCTGTCTTGCAGCTGAGTGTGCACACAGCAGGGTGGCAGTCCTCAGGGCTCCAGACGGGGCAGAGGTCAGGCAGGACTGCAGCCCGCATTTGTCACTGACCACAGCAGCCCTGCCCCTCCCCTGGCCCCGCCCAGGTCCTGCCTATCCTACCCTAGAAGGCTTCCAGCCAACACTCTGGCCATAGGGAAGTGGCCTGCACAGAAGCTCCTACCAGGCCACCCACTCAGTGTCACCAAGCCTACTGGGGCCACCATAAACCTGGAGGGACAGCAATGCCGGGTCATCAGCTGCTGCACTCCAGAGCAGGGAAAAATCCCTCAGTGGTCACCCTCCCCTGGCCAGGCTCCATTTCTTTGTTTTCTGCAGCTATTGCCTGTGGACCCAGGGGACTGGCTTGAGCCACCTCCCCACTAGCTTGCTATAGTTACTGATCAGGGACAGTCCCCATTCTGGTGGCAATGAGAGTCTCACAATGGCTGTGATGCTGTGGTCATTGTATCCACCCAATTGCATCAACACCTCCACAGGATCAGAAGGACAAAGGAATTGTTCAAGGTCATGTACCAAATTAGGGAATGAAGGGCCCAGTGCCCAAGCTGACTTCRAGGTCCCTGCTCTTTGCTCAGAAAAGGGTTGAAGCAGGGATTCCTGTGGCTTACCTGATCTGTCCTTTTCTACCTCGAAATAGGGGCCCTCTCTGCCCCTTGCTTTGATCACTGTTCCCAAGATGTCCATTTAGGGTGCTGGCTCAGGCCGTGATGCTTCCAGGTCCCCAGGCCTGGGGCTTCCTCTCACCAAAGGGCCCTGCGTGTGACCACCACCAGGAAGGTGGGTACAGGCGGGTGTCGAGAGGGCCCAGTAAAGCAGAGGACAGGAGGCACCTGGGACGTGTGACCTGCAAGTTCAGCCAGCCAGTTCCCACACCCTGCAAGACGTTTCCTTTCCTACACACCATGGTTCTGAGGCCAGTGAGGGCACTCTGCAGGGTTAAGCAGACTTTTTAGATTTTTTTTCCTTCTTTGAACTACTAAGGATCCAAACCAGGGTCTCACGTCTGCTAGAGGAGCGCGCCACCGCTCAGCGACCACCCCACCCATTTTGTGTTTTACACTTTTATTATTTTGAGAAAGGGTCTCATTAAATTGTCTGGGCTGGGCTCTAGCATGGAGTCCTGCTCCAGCCTCCTGAGTAGCGGGACTGCAGGGCTGGCTGTGTGGACACTTTAAACCAGAGCCCAGTTCCTCCCGGAGCCCTGTGGGTTCTCTCTTTCACGGCAGCCCTGGGAGCCCTGACCTCAGGCTCATTGTGGAGAGAGCATGCCCCACGGGGTGACCTGTGCACWGCGCCCTCCGTGCTCCAACCTGTGCGCGACACCTGCTACCACCAGAGGGACTTTCCAGGTGTGATTAGGGTAAAGATCTAGGAATGGGGAGAGTGTCATGGTCACCCAGGTGGGTCCTAAACGTAATCACTGGGTCTTTAGAGAAAGAGATGCAGGAGGTGGAGTTAGAAGCAGGTGGTGTGGTGACAAGGGCAGGGGAAGGAACCAGGGGTCACGGAGGTCTCTCTCCAAGTAGTGAGGAAGCTTCTGGAAATTGGAGAAGAAGCCCCCTCCCCTGGAGCCTCCAGAAGGAAGGGTCCCTGCCCAAATCTGGACTGTGGCCCAGCGAGGTCTACTTTGGCCTCCCAGCAATAAAAGGATAAATGTCCTGTGTCATCCTCTGCCTGTGACATTTGGTCACACTAGCAACAGGGAGYGAGAAGGAGCCCAGACAGTTCCAGCTGAAACTGCTTTGGGAAAGACAGGGCCATGCAGCACCCTGGGGCGCTGCTCACGCTGTGACCATCCAAGGCTGAGCGATGCCACGGGTACGATTTTCCAAGCCAACCTCCGAAGGAATACCGTGGGAACCTGGGAGCAACCTGTGGTAACCCAGAACTCCCCACGGCCCCTCAGAAAGGGCCTGAGAAAATGGGCCTGAGGGCGGGTCAATTTTGAGGGGGGGGTTGGGGGGTCTCAGGGCTCAGCACACCASGGTTAGTCTGCCAGGCTGCCTAACCCAGCATCCCACTGGGCAGCTTAATCACAGAAAGAAGTTTCTCTGCGGTTCTGGAGGCTGGACCCTCACAACCTCCTTTGCCCCAGGTACCTCCTAAGGGCTTCTCCAAATCCTGTCACCTGGAGATTAGGGCTCACACGAACTTTGGAAGGACGCAGTTCTATGCACAGCACTGGGGAGAGTGCATAGGGAGGGCCAGTGGCCAGGATGTAGGAGGGCCAGTAGCCAGGATGGGCTCCTAGAGCCTGGGAGGCCTGGGGAGGGCTGGCAGTGGACAGGTCCTTGGGAGCAGAGCCAAGGAGCRTGGGTGGCCTTTGCCATCCTGCTCAGTCGGAGGAGGCTGGCTCTGCTTACCCTCTGTTCCCCATACTGGCCTGGGCCCACTCTGGCCTTGGGGGCTTGAGGAACATCAGCCCAGGAGCWTGGGGGGCCCTTCCTGCTATGAACTGGACACTGGTCTTGGTCCTAGTAGGGGACCACTCAGCCCACTTTGCTTGGGACTGAGGAATTTCCCAGGATGTGGGACAATCAGCGCTAAACCAGGACACGACCCTGGCAAGCCAGGAGGGGTGGACCCTGGTTTCCTGGTTCTTGGCTAATTTGGGCTGTGGCTTGGCTAAGCTCCTGATCTAGCCGTGGTCCCTGTCTGGTCTTCTCACACTGAGGGGCTGGCCTTCCTGCCTGCAGCATCTGCCATGATCCTGCTGTGGGCCACCTGCCTGTCACCTGCCTGCCTGCCTGGGTCAGTACCCCTGGCCCTTCCTTCTACTCCTTTTCCTGCCTTCCATCCTCCCTTCTGTCCATCCTCTGTCCTTCAATACCTCCATCTGATSCAGTATTTGCTGAGTGCTGACCATGTTCCAGAAGTTACCCTGGATTCCAGAAGGTGTTGATCTAAAGAGGCAAATGAGAGCACGGAGCCCGATGCTCTAACCAGCGCCACAGCGACCCCGGGAGCAAGGCCCTTCTCGCGGGCTGGAGAGGGCAATGGGGACCCCCAGGCGGTGGTGCTGGGCTTCAGGCTGGCAGCTGCAGGAGTCGGCAGCAGCACCAGAGGTGCAGAGGGCATGGCGCAGGCCCAGAGCCAGCCAGGAGGAGGGGGTGGGAGGATCCCAGAGAAGCAGGGCCACCTCCGGAGCAGAGGCCTGGGTGTCCTGCTGGCYGGAGGCAGATTGGACTTTACCCACACACCAAAGAAGGAGGCAGAGGTGGCGGACAGACCTTTTTGGCTGGAGAGGACCAAGGGGATGTGCTGGCTCCTCTAGGTGGGAGAGCCTGGCCTGGACCTGCAGATACTGGCAGATGTAAGGAGGAGGCCTGGGGAGGAGGGAGCGTGGGCACTATGAGCGGAGGGCAGGCAGCCTTGGGGGCTCATGAGTCCAGCTTTGGGCCTGGTGAACATGGGCTGTGTACCTGCTGGTGGAGGGGTGGGTGGGCAGCAGGTGAGTGGGTGTGGAGGAGGCGTGGGAGGCAGGAGTGGGGGTGGGGACAAGGGTGAAGGGAGAGATGACGAGGACCAGAGAGGGGACCAGGGAGGGAACTGTGGGCCCTGGCAAAGGCCCTGCGTAGAGGAAGGAGGGCTCACCGATGGCAGAGATGCAGGGGAAGGAGCGGCTGACTCCAAGAAAGGAGGCTGGAGGTCACGGTCAGGGTCGGATGCAACAGGATCTTTAGGCAGGAAGAGGGGAGTCAGGGTCCCCTGAGGCCAGCAGGTGGGCTCAGTGGGCAGGAGGGAGCAGCTGCCTTCCTTCACAGCTGAGGCACTGGAGGCACAGAGAAGAACCAAGTGCACACCCAGTGTCCTGTGCTGAATGTGTCCCCTCTTATGTGGAAGTCCCAGCTCCCAGGACCTCAGAAGGTRGCCTTACTTGGAAATGGGGTCCTTGGGGGATGGGGTTAGTTAAGATGGGGCCACGGTGGAGCAGGGTGGGCCCCTGACCCCCATAGGCCTCTGTTATTTTTATTTTTATTTTTTT